CAATAAGCAAGATTAAAAATCCCATCAGAATCACCCGTTATAGCAGATTTCTGATAATACATAAACGCTTTTTTTTCATCCTTTTCGACCACAATTCCATTTTGATAATAATAAGCAAGATTAAACATTGCATCAAGATCTTCCATATTGGCAGCTGTTTGGTAATTTTCAAACGCTTGATGATCGTCTTTTTCAATTCCAATTCCATTATGATAACAAAAGCCAACTTGAAATATTCCATCAACATTTCCCATTTTGGCTGATTTTTGATAATAACTAAATGCCTTACTTTCATCTTTTTCAACACCTATTCCATTTTGATAGTAATAGCCAACTTGAAGCACGCCATTAGGATTTCCCATTTCAGCTAATCTTTGATAATAAGTAAATGCTTTATATTCATCCCTTTCAACACTTATTCCATTTTGATAGCAATAACCAACTTGAAACATACCCTTGGGATTTCCTGTTTCGGCTATTTTCTGATAATAAATGAATGCTCTATCTTCATCCTTTTCAACCCCTATTCCATTTTGGTAGCAATAACCAATATTAAATGTTCCATCGGAATCACCCATTCTGGCTGATTTTTGATAATATTTGAATGCTTCACGTTCATCTTTTTCAACTCCTATTCCATTTTGATAACAGTAACCAACTTGAACTAATCCATTAACATTTTCTATTTCAGCCAATTTTTTATAATAAGTGAACGCCTTATTTTCATTTTTTTCTACTCCTATTCCATTTTGATAGCAATAACCAAGATTAAATATGCTATCAAAATCACCCATTTCTGCCGATTTTTGATAATATTCGAATGCCTTATGATCATCCTTTTTGACGCCTATCTCATTTTGATAACAATAACCAACTTGGAATATCCCATTGACGTTTCCCATTTCAGCGGATTTTTGATAATGAACAAACGCCTTATGCACATCCTTTTCAACCCCAATACCATTTTCATAGCAATATCCAAGAATATACATACTATCAGAATTGTTCATGTCAGCTGACTTTTTAAAATAATCGAATGCTTTGCTCAAATCTTTTTCAACCCCAATTCCGGAATAATAATGACAGCCAATGTTAAACATTCCATCAGAATCACCCATTTCTGCTGATTTTTGATAATAAGTAAATGCCTGATTCTCATCTTTGGCAATTCCTATTCCATTTTGATAACAATAAGCAATTTGAAACATCCCGTTAGGGTTTCCTATTTCAGCTGATTTTTGATAGTAAATAAATGCTTTATGTCCATCCTTCTCAACTCCAATTCCATTTTGATAACAATAAGCAAGGTTAAATAGTCCATCAGAATCGCCCATTTCAGCAGATTTTTGATAATAAATGAATGCTTTACGCTCGTCTTTTTCAACTCCGATTCCATTTTGGTAGCAGTAGCCAACTTGAAATATCCCATTAAGATTTTTCATGTAGGCTGATTTATTATAATAATCGAATGCCATATGTTCGTCCTTTTTAACACCGATTCCGTTTTGATAACAGTAACCAAGACTATAAGTTCCATCACTATGACCCATCTCAGAGGATTTTTTATAGTGGTTGAATGCTTTATCTTTATCCATATTAACCCATCGTCCAAAATGGTAGCAATTTGCAAGAATATTTTCAACTATAGGATTGTTTTTATTGTCCTTTGAAAGCTGGTTAATCACATCCTCTGGTCTTTGATTCCTTTCTTTTAGATATTGATCCAAAGTATTAAGTATATCTACAGGCTTCTTTGCTTTCACACTTTCTACATTGTATAAATTACATAATTCTTCAATCATATTATCTAAAGTAACATCATTTAATGAAGATTCTGGTAAGCTCTTGACCGACATTTTAATTTAGTGAACCCAGAAACGTGGTGATGTGGGGACTGCAAACAAATTAAAAAGGCGATATTTATGATCTGAGTAAGGTACCGACCGTACGTTGACACGTTTGGTACGTATTTATATGTTAAAATTTGCCATCTATAGTGATATGCGGCACGTGTGCACGTATGCATGCAGCAGATGCTTTTCGATGATATTGCAAAATTTGGACTAAGCTGTTTGAAGCCACATCGCATTACAATATAAATGCGTACATTCCTGTATTGGTATTACTTAACGTTAATATTTCAGTTTTTTAAAAAAAAAACGACAACAATGCTTATTTCCACTGACGAAAAAAGTGCAAGGCCCGTCCCTTTGAAAAAAATTGTAATTGAAGCTCATGGTAATAATTTATTTATGCATTATGACTCAAAATTTATTTTTCAGCAATACTAATATCCAATACACATATATATGCTGTAGTCATCGATATGGTAGCGGAAGGTATAAATATTATTATCTAGATAAGCATAAGCTCAATTTTGTTTCAATCACCTTTTTCTTTTTTTTTTTCCTCAGTAAATATCTTTCAGACATACGAGAACGTAGAAAAAAATAAAATAAAGGCTGTTTATAAGTTTATGATTCATGATACCGTGGCAGTTTGCGGATTTGAAGCTACAATAGATAATAAAAGAAAAATTATAGGAATAGTTAAAGAAGCTGAACAAGCCAAGAAGGAATATGATGAAGCTATAAAAGTATTTATCGTATTTCATGATAAAAATTTCATTAATATTTTGCCAATAACATTTATCAACATAAAGTATACTATTAAATTATTAAGCAAGGTCATGGTGCTTATTTACTTGAAGAACAAGATTCAGAAGTGTTCAAATGTTCTGTTGGTAACATTAAGCCCGGCCAAACAATTGAAATCCAAATTAAATACATGATTGAACTTAAACACGACGCAGAAACAGATAGTGTTCGGTTCACTTTGCCGGCTACTATTGCTCCAAAATATGGATCGCATATTTTTAATCACAAAAGGATGCGTCTTTTCGATAAAATTTCAGATTTGGATTTTCCCCCTCTCGAGTTTTCCATAGTTTGTAGGATGAATTCACCAATCTGTAGTATCAAATCGCCTTCTCACAACATTACTGAACTAAAAGAAAAACCATGTATATCTAAAGTTACTTTGAATGAAAATATTCATTTTTTAGAAAAAGACTTCATACTTCTTGTTAAAAGTCAAGAAATTGATAAGCCTCGGTAACTAACATTTGAAGAAATCTTATTGAGAAATAGATTATATTTGCTATTCTGTCGTTATAACTTGCATTTTTTCAAAATTTTAGAGCATTTATCGAATATAATCCCATAACTGAGACCAATTGCCTAATGCTTACTTTAGTTCCGACATTCAAACATGGTCCAATTAAGCATAATTTAATGAAGATGGAATTGATATTTATTATTGATAGGTAGCTAGTTAAATGAAATTATGTTGATTACCGTTGGTTACCTCATTGCAGTTGAGTAATAATAATCATCATAAAAGCTCTAGGTCCATGAAAGGTAGATCTATTGAGAAAGCATCTAAAGCTCTTCAATATTTACTTCTTTCTATTCCAGAAAGTTGCTTCTTTAATGTGCTATCAATTGGACACAGAAGATTTTATAATTTCTTTGAAAAAAGTCGGGAGTGGACAAAACAAAATGTCGAGGAAGCCATCAAAAAAGTTCAAAAAATCACTGCAAAGGGTGGCACTCACATTTATGAAGCTTTAGAGTGGGTATTTGAACATTCACGTTCTGATATGCCAACATCAGTTCTTCTGTTCTCAGATTTTGAGACATCGCATGCAAGCCGAATTGTTAAACTTATAAAAGATCATCAAGAAAAAAAACACGATTTAAGAATATTTTCAATCGGAATGAATAATATTGTTTCAAATCATTTCATTGAATCCATTGTTCGAGTCGGAAAGGGATATGCACAATATGTGTCCGATTTAGAACAAATGAACAGGAAAGCGATGACCATGCTTAGGAATTCATTAAATCCGCCGATCTCAGATTATGAAATTACATGGACCGTTGAGCCTAATGAAGAATCTCGGAATAGTGGCCTCAAAGTTCAGCAAGTTCCATTGAAAATTCCAGAACTTTATATTGGCGTTCGTTCAATAATTTATTGTATTTTAGAAAAGGGTGTTAAACCATGCGACCAAATCACATTAAAATCAAAATTTCAAGTTCCTTTAATTGTTCCATTAGATCAATCTCCCTTACAGGGATCAAAAATTCACACACTTGCTACCAAAAAACTTATTCAAGAAATTGAATATGGAAATTATTATCCTAATCATGCAAAGAATGAAGAATATATTCGTAAACAAATTGTGTATTTGGCAAAATCTTATAATCTTAGTTCCAAATATACTAGGTAATGTTAATGATTTCAGTCATAAAATTTTTAATATTATGCTAGTTATTTATTATTTTGTTCAAATAAAAGTTTTATTGCAGTTGAAACGCAAAGTATTGAAGATCATGAAAAAAAGAAGCAAGAAATTGAGAAAAAATTGGTCACAGAAAAATATCAAATACCTAAAATGCAAAATGCTTTTGGATTTGAAGATGAGCATGAAAAAAAATTAGCTATAGAGCTTGAAAAACAAAAAAATGAAAACCAAAAAGATACGGAACTTAAAAAGGGTGGTGAGAAAAAATTAATAATGGAATTTGTGAAGGAACCCGAGAATCAAGATTCTGTAGAACTTGAAAAAAGAGAAAAGGCGATGATGAATGAAAAATTTAAAGATCTCGAAAGACAAAAAGAAGTGGAATTAAAAAAAGAAATACTCAGAAAAGAAAACGAAATAGAAAGACTAAAAAAAGCCGAACGCAAAAAAGGAGATGGTAGCATTGAATTGCATGCTCCTAAAGAAGAAATTATTGATACAATTCAAAAGAAGATTACTAATCAGAAACTCAAATCACACGATCATTCATCAAGTCTCGCAACTGCAGTTAATCTTTCATATTTAAAAAATGCAGCGTCTAAATATAAAGGTGACTGGGAAGATAAATATAATAAAGCTCGTGACTATCTTTCTAAACAAATTGGTGATGCCGATGCTGAAAAGGAATTATTAGATTATGCCGATGAGTTTGTAGTTGATAAAACTACAGATAAAGTGATTGTCGAAAAGAAACTAGTTGCGGATAAAAAAAGGAGGTTACAAATGAAAACTTATGTTTATCCCGGAATAGAAGAACCTAAAGCTAAAGCCTCTCAAGAAAGATGCAAAAAAGACAATAGTCTTCAATTTCCTTCGGGCGATTTTTATATAAAATCGGCTATTTCATTGTCTGATGTTTCTACTTCATCCGCATCCGCCCAAAACATGGTAGTCGATATTAAACACAGTTTATTCATGCCTTGGTGTATTGTCAAGGATGGAACAAAAGCCATTATCGCCCAACAAAAGAACGTTGATCAAGATGGCCATCAACTTTGGCGTCATGAAAATGGTTTGCTAATTAACAAGCAAACAAATTTATGCCTAGAAGCGGAATCAGGTAAGGATTTACAATAGTGGAAGTATGCGTTAAACTATAATAAATCAACTTTACTATTATAGTGAAAGAAGGGACCTATCTCAGTGTTCACCAAAAAAGAAATTCGAATCAATCTAATAATCAGCGTTGGATCCTTACCACTGAGGGACGTATTGCGTTAAAAAAAAATCCTAAATTCGTGATTGAGGTCCTCTTTAAAGGAACAGCTGTGAAAGATGGATTATATCTTACTCTCACCAATTCTAAATCGAAAAAATTTAAAGACGACCTTAGGTCTAAATTTGTTATTGTTCATAAGAAACCACGTCTTGGTAGGATACAAATATAAAATTATGCTTAAAATTGTTACTTTTCATCACTTTACTAACGGTTATATCACTAGATTGTGCTATTATCGGTGTTATTAGACTAGAATTAATAGGTGTTAAAAACATCGATTCTTCCTTTACTAAAGGTAAATTTAGGGTTGGGATCCGTGAATATTTCACTGAATATTCAATTAGCAGTGAATATTCTGTTACACAAAACTCCATGTGTGATAAACGGGAATTGCTATCGGCACAGCAAACACGTGACATGATTCCTACTGTGTCGTTTGGACTTGCAGAAGTTCTTCTACTTTTTCCAGGTTTCCTTGGGAAGCTTCATAATGTAGAGGATATTTTTTGATGTAATTTTCTTTTTCACTGGCTTCATTTGCTATTTTGGTGTCGTTTTCTTTTGCTTTTTGTTTATTAATTTTACGATTTAGGAACTTTTTCATATATTGATAATTTTAAGGGATTTTTGATAAAAAGATTAGTGCTGGTCACTTGCTGTGTCGATAAGCACGTGTTTTACTGTGTCGGTGACAATTCTCTGAGAAACGCAATCACGTGAGATTCTCTGAATATCCGCGAATTCTCTATAAATATCTGCAATATTTGTAAATTCTCTATGAATATCTGCGAATTCTCTGAATATCCATGAATTCTCGATGAATATTCATGTAAAATATGTATATTTATTCGGCATCATTCGAGAATAACTAAAATCCGTGAATATTCATTAAATAGCTGTGATGGATATTCAAAGGATCCTAACTCTAGTTAATTTATACATTATAATTTATTAGACTAGTATGTTATTAATACGTTATGATTTAATTATTCAGGAAAATCTTATATTCGAATTTTTAATGAGGTTAGCAAAGAAACTGTTACGCAAACTAAAATTAGTGATAATGATTTGGATCCGATCTGGAATGAAGTTCATTATCTTCCAATTAAAAATATTGGCGACAAATTCATGTTCGATGTGATGGACTACTGTTCTAGTACGGAAGATAAATCTCTCGGAAATTATCATTTTGAGGTTAATCGAGATTTTGTCAAAGAAATTTCTGAAGGTATTTATGAAGGCACACAAAATGACATCGATATGTAAGTGAAAACTATTGTTTAGATATTTTAAAAAATAAAATAATTACATAATACATATAATTTGAATTTTAGTTGGGCGAAACTTTCAACTAAGGGTCAAATTCATTATAGAGCAAAATTTTTCTCTCTTGAACCTCTTCCAATACCAACACCTGATTTTCTTTCGGACCTTAAGGAAAATCCTTTTAATTTTTCAACACTTTGCGTTATCATCGCTTTACAAGCACAAAATGGGAGTTTTCCACCTTCAAATACGTTAGCCAATATATTTGGGTATGAATCACCAGTGAAGCTCTTCGATTTATACAAATCACATTGTTGCGAAGATCGTGTCTTAAATATTGATAAAACAGTATGGACCACTAGTATGATCATATGTTTCTTGCAATCTATGTTAAAAGAATACCGACGCGATTGGGCTAGCATTTATGAACGTGCCGTACAATACATTAATAATGAAGTCCATTGTGATCAAGAAATCGAAAAAATTGTGTTGGATACTGGTGAGAAGGCAATTCATGGGAGGTTCAATATTAGATAAATCAATAAAACTCAAGCAGACATGTTAGATTATGGATAAAAGTTTACATTTTTATAATAAAAAAATAACAATCACCAAAAATGTTATAATATTACTGTTCGTTATAATTTTCACACCTCAAAAATCACATTGTATGATAACAGTATATTGCGATTTAATAATTTTGTATATTTTAAGGCTTTGTTCATTTTATCATTCAGTCCCTTCTTTCTTTTTAACTAATTCCTCTTTAACTAATTCCAAAAACTTTTTACTATCATTATCAAATTAAATTAATTTTCTTGTTAGATTCTATATTTATTCGGCTAACTTTCAAAGCTCTTTGCTGATAAATGGTTTTGCATCATCGGGAAAATTACCATCATTATTAATTTCATAAAAAAATGTATTTATTAGATTAGCATCCATCCTTGAATAATAATTATGTAAAAAAGAATTAAAATTGACTTGTATTCTGGAAACCAATGTTGCCACCTTCGTTGTTTCAAAAAAAGTAAAACCAATTTTATTTCTGTCAATATTTATAATAAAAAAAGAAAAAGATATAAAAAGAAGAGAAAAAATAAGAGATAATATGAAAACAATAAGATGATAACAAAAGTTAGTGAAAACAAAGTGAAGGTAAGTATAAATTAATGAAAAATAAGAAAGATCGATAAAGAGAAAATTTGAATTTAAAATATTAAATAAATAAGAAAAAAAAAATTTTTTAAATTGATTTTTATTGATATATATTGAAGTATAATAAAATATATTTTATTTTATTAAATACAATGTAAAAATTTAGATTTATATTATGTTTGACATAATAACATATTTAAAAGATTAATTTATATTACACAATATATTATTATATTTATTTTTAAACAATATTTATTAATATATATCAAAATATATATATTAATTTTTTATTAAACTATAATACAAAATTTAGATATATATGCTTGACATAATAACTATATATAAAGAACTAATTTATATTATGTATTTTTTTCAACTTTGGTAGTCTTGCCAGTGATCCTTTATTAAGATTGTCTTGCCACAGATGGTACAAGATACTTTAAGCTTAATATTTAGGCCTAACATCCTACAGTTACTTCTAAGAGCACTTACAAACAACCTGCTGCACTAGGCCAATAAATCTATAAGAGATATATTAT